GCCCAAGCCAAAGAAGAGAATGGCGGCGGTGGGGGGGGGAGGGGAGCTGGCGTCCATAATCCCAGTGCTGGGGAAGCAGAGTTAAGTAGTTCCTGGTACTCACAGCCTGGTTAGCTGAACTCACTCAATGAGCCCCAGTGCAGGGAGAAATCCTAGCTCAAAAAAAGATATTATGAAGCCCAAGTTGTCTCTGGCATAAATGGGCACACACACACACCGAGTAATTAGACTTGTTGATGGGCACACACACCTCGCCCGCCCCACATGCCCCACACACAGACTAATTAGACTTGTTCCAAAGTACTTTGTGTCACTCATTAAGTAAACCATTTCCTAAATCAGCTACAGTAAACCATTTACTAAATCAGCTATAATAAACTATTTCCTAAATCACCTACAGTAAACCATTTCCTAAATCAGCAATAGTAAATCATTACTAAATCAGCTAGAGTAAACCATTTCCTAAATCAGCTATGACCAATGACCTGAGTTGGAGCTAAAGCTCTGAGTTGAGCAAAAGCCCAGCCACACGCCTTGCCTTGATGCAGCATTCAGTCTGGTGGGAGGGGCCGTGTACAAAAAGGCGACAGCTATCTCAGCCCTAACAAGGTCTATAAAGGAAACATGGATGGCCCTCTAAGGTGAACCATTTGACCCCAGAAGCAGTACATTTGTTAGTTTGGGGAGCAAGTAATGAGTTTCTATTCCTGTGTTTTTTCCAGTAGATTGCTAGTGTCTGTCAGCACACAGTGTTGGGAATGTTCCTGGGGTTATGTTAGAGACCAGAGGGCAAGAATGTCTTGATCAGTGATGCCTCGCATGGACGCAAAAGGGGAGCATGGCAAATGTGTTCTGTGTACTCATTTGACTACAGTGCATCTGAACCTTGCGGGCATTGAGAAGAGAGGGAAGCAGGGCTATGACTCTGTGGTCATTGAGTGCTAGTCTTCACATTTTTCCTTCTGCTTTGTACCCCAAATGTGATGGCCCAATGAGGCAACAGTCCATACAGTTTTATAGTAGCAGAGCAAAGAAAGCTATCAATCAGGATACTTTTCAAGTGTACGGGTGGACGCACTGGGCAGGCCGGCCATAACCCAGTGGGGAAAATCTGTGCAGTGGGACTTAGACGCTCTCTGATGACTTTTTAGCCTTTAACTGATAGAAGCCAGAATCTGCTTGTACCTTCTGAAAGTTGTACTTAGTAGTCAAAGGGATGTTGGGTCACACGCAGAGATGAGTAATTCATGGCTATTTAAGGGACTAGCAACTCAAGACAATTTACCCCAGAGCACCACAGTTATGACTAATCACAGTTTTAAACTCAGGCGGCCTTGGGGGCTATTGAACAGGTGTGAGTTTCTCCTGGGCACTTCCATTCACAGACACCTAGGCCTCTGTGCACCTGAGGAACAACAAGGTCAGGTGAGGGACGGGGAGGAGGGGTTTCTGGCTCTGACTCCATGACACTCTACCAGTAGAAGGTCCTTCCTCATCCTCCAGTTTCATCCCTAAGTGCACTTTCTCTGGACTTTCCCAGGGACTTCTGGGAGGCTAGAGCCAGTGGAATCTAGAATGGAACGCCCACTCATTTGCAAATTGGCAGACAGCCTCCTCCAGCAAAGTGGAGGAAGGTTTGATCCAGACCTTACAAGGAACAACAGGGTCCATTTCACAAACCCAACATTTAATGAACTCAAAACAGTGTTCTATTAAAAAAAAATCCAATCTAATAAAGCAGCATTTAAATGCCAGTGCACACTTATTAGTCTCAGCTTGCGAGCCCCATCTCTACCTCAGCAGGATCCCACTGCAGCTCCTTGCTTCTGGACCCTTGCATTTGATTTCATTTCAAAATATTGATTGGTAAGGCATGCCTTTCGGGCCAGGGCTGGCTCTCCCAAGTCACTCAGGACCTCCAGACAGAAAAGGTGTCCTTTGTTGCCTAGCAATTTATAAAACAAAGATGCAGGAAAGATGAGCTCATCCTTCAGGCGAGTCTTCCATAAAACTCTCTTTCATGGGCACTTTCAAACTCCTAGGACTGGTAAAACATTCGGACCCATTTTTCCTGTTTGAAGAACAGGCAACGACTGAGCCAGACATCTTCTTTTGGATTCCATCTGCAGGGCGCCCCCTCTCACTCCAAGGGCATCTGGGGTGGAGGAGTGTGGAAAAGTGGGGGAAGGTTGAGTAGGGCCTGAGAGTGGATGGTAATTACCACAGAAAATAGATGCCTCCTGCCTTTTAGCAAGACCAGTATCAAATACTGTTTGGCCCAAGCTCATTTGGTCCCCTTCTGTCTCTTATGCAAATTAAACATCTAGAGACCAGCCTGCCACAAAAGGGGAATCACTGCCCCACCCCACCCGCTCCTCTGCCCCTTGAAAGCAGTATCATGTACCTGAATGTTAGCCGATTCTCCGAAATCATGGGAGAGATCTCTTTCTCTGTCCTCAAATTTTATCCTGATGAGACCTTTCTAGAAATCAAAAGCACCTGCTCTTTTGTGAGGGTGGGCTTCCAAAGAGATTACTATTACCATAGAAACACTAGGGGTTCATCTGGGAACACTGGGGACATGCTGTCCCAGCCTGCGGACACCATCCTTGACTGCTCATGCTTCCAACAGGTTGTCTTTATCGCCGAGTCCACGCCACACGCCATGCTAAGCAATTTCTATGGACTGTTTTTTGTTGTTTGGTTTTTTTTGCGTACTTGGATCAGCGATGGGAGATGAGATGCCTCATTTTACAGATTTGAAACCAAAGGCTTAAAGAGGTCAAGTTGCTTGCCCAAGATCACATCATTGGAAATCTGGCATAGTTGTGAGGTTTAATTCCAGAGCCAGTACTCATGCTGGCCTGCGATACACCTGGTATTCATAAAACTAATGTCTTCCCCATACTGGGACCCACTCCGAGCAGACTTCACATTTCCCAAATAGTACTTAACACAAGCACGGAAGGCTTTCTGGGTGCTTTGACTTCAATGAGTAAAGTCTATGTATGTAACATAAATATTAGAATTACTCATTTAATGTTCTGAATTACAGACATTAGTATTCCCTTCCAAAAGAGAAAGAAATTTAGACTCACAGAATCTAGCGCCTGCCCAATAACAAACACGCAGATGATAAACGGTCAAAGTGGTCTTTGGGCTCCAGGCAGCTGTCTATGGCTCAGCCTTACCCTATTGCCTTGCAGCGTCTTCTCAGCCTCCATCCTACCTTTCCACTAGAGACAGCGAAACAGCCTTTCCACCTCCACCCTCTCTGTGAGTGACCTCATGCCTAGCTGTCTCCAGATTCTGGAGCTACTGCTGACATGGCTGGGTCAGAGCTGGCTGTAAAGAAGTTGCACACTTGAAGATGACAGCATTCCCTTGCAATGGGGACATGAGTCCCAGCACAAGCAGAAGGATGCGATTGAACTGTCAGCGATGGATAATTATCCAAACCACCACCCGTTCTATGCAGTCAGGCTGCCTTGAGCTTCTGTGCCTTGGTTTTCCTAAGGTTCCTTTCCTCATTGAGCACTGGGGAGCTCTTTCTGTCTTCCTTCCCTACACTCCAAGTACACACTCACCTTGCTCTCTGCACACCTCTCCCCACCAGTTCTTAGAGAGGGAAGGAAGAAACTTCTAAGCTACCCTGCCAGCCGGGGCCAAGTGCAGAGGCTGGCAATTTACCATATGGGCAGCACTGGTGTTTAATAAAAAGGAGCTAAGAAGAAACATAGAGAAACGATGCTAAGCCCTGGGGGAAAGCAACTCAAAATCCACACATGTGAAATCCGGTATCCAGCAGCTTCCTTTTGCTCAGGAATGAGCGCTGGCATGCACAGGCCGATGCTGCTGTTTCCAGGCAGCACTGAAACTCATCCCAGTGTTAAAACAGTGTAACTCATCCCTCCCTCTTCCACCCATTGGGCTCACGTCTATGAGCGCCACTGCTTGTGTGTTGTTAGTACAGACATGCTTTCTGTTGCAGGAACCTGAAGTCTACAGCGAGACAACGCACAACTGTTTTAAAAGACAGCGGCACAACTCGGGAAACATGCATGTTGTAGAAACTAGGAGCTTGTTTTTCACATGAACTTGTGTGTCTCCTGTCTGGTCATTTGGCAAGAGCCTTCATCTCATGGCTCTGGGGTATGAGCAGGGTGATGGCCTCCATTTTGCAGAGAAGGAAGCTGAGTCCCAGGAACTTTTAATGGCTTCCCATGGAGCTCTTTCTGTAATCCTTAGACACTATCCTAAGACAACACTAGTACTTCTACCAGACTGTTAAGTACAACCAGACATCACTGAAACATGAAATTACCTGTACTCCCCGGATGTGTCTGGAACACCCACCAGCGGCTCCCCCTGGGCTGAGTTAAAGACGGATTTATAGGAGAGTCTCTCAAAATTCTTTCTTCAAGGTCATTGTTCCAGGAGACTAATAAAGCTTGGAAACCTAAAGGCTTTGCAATTTAAAGTTGTATTTCAGGACGAAGCTATAGACATCAAGAAACGGTGGAGAAAAATCACCTTCTCTTAACATTAACACAACTTATGTTTTGCTTGACTCCCAAGATGTAATTATGCCAGACTAGAATCCTTTAAAGTCAAAATTTCATTCTCCTAAGTAAAAATAAGAAAGCAAGAAATAGAATGAGAAAAATGCAAACGAATAAATTTCTACCTGAAACAGTAAAGAAAATGTTTGTCTCCGTCAGAGGGTTGTTTGTTTCTTTTTTACTTTGATTTTTTTGCACAAGAAAGAAAACTCTAGATTCCCTGGTTGCAGCAGTAAAGGGGGTGGGGTGGGATTTCTACCTCTGCAAAGAGAAGAAATGAGATGCAGGAGGTAACTGAGCTGCTACGGGATTATTGTCCCAAGTTCCCCTTTATTCGCCATGCAGTGGATAATGTGTGCTCATTGTGACTTATCTCCAGTTGGTTTCTTTTACACCTCTGGATATATAAGGGGGAAGTAGGACAGGGGCTGGAGATTTGGGGAGCATCCGGGAGGCAGCACCGACACTCCAGAGAGAATGAGAAAGGCAGGAACTTGAGCAACCGTCTGTGGCATTAACCTTTCCAGTGGTACGAGCCAGGGACAGCACCAGTGATCTCCCTTGGAAACTCCCACACAAGATTGAGTGATAATTTGTTCTTACCCTTGACTTTAACTTTCTGTTCATATTTCCGATGCAGAACAATCGAGACCTGGGGCCTGGAGGGAGCGTGAGCCCTCGGGCAGTCCTTTCGGTCACCTGGCAGAGATCAGTCCCGAGACGCAATGGTGGCGCTGGCCTTCATCCTCTTGACACTCCTTGCAGAAGCCTCAGCGAAATCGTGCATTCCAAATAAAGCAGGTACCCCAGTGCCACACTACTCTCCCAGACAGGGAGCCTCTTGTCTCCATCTCACCATGACTGAGCTCCAGGACAGCTTAGTTGGGAAAGTGTAAAACATCACCCAGTGGAGGTACAGAAGCCCCCAGGGTCAATCAGACATTTCCCCACAGGAAGCAAAGATGTACTGAATGAACCAGTTTTTGTTTTACAAATTAGAGGATGTTTCCATCATCTTTTACATGATGGGTCTACTTTGTTTTCTGTGTTCGACTATTCAGTGCTTGCTGTGTGAGCCTTTAAACAATGTTTTGCAGCACTGAGCATGAAATGGGGCAGTGGACATTTTAAATCACAAGAAATCTTCTCATTTTCATGGGAATATATATAGCAATCTGTGATTTCCCAGGTATATTCTGAAGTAAAAGTGTTAGGGCTGGGGCTATGGCTTGGTAGTAAAGCTCTTGCCTAGCAAACATGAGGCCCTGTGTTTAATAACAGGTATTGCTGAGAATAAAGAAGAAAGGGAGGAAGGGAGGGACGGAGGGAGGGAGGAGGGACAGAGGAAGAGAGGGAGGGACGGAGGGAGGGAGAGAAGAGAAAAAGAATTATTGATCATTGGCTCGAAAATAAAATGATGGTTTTTAAAACTGGATCCAATTAAATATATACTAAATAGTGATGTTGTTATATGAGGTAAAAGTTAGGAAGGAAGCATTTCAGTGGCTGGTTTGGGGAAACCCAGCACAGCTGGTGAACAGCGAGAACACGGTTTTAACTGCCTCTGCATGATGTTTGCTGACCATGTCTGATTCAAACCATGTGTGTACTCCTCCAGATGTCATCCTTGTGTTTTGTTACCCCAAAACCATCATCGCTAAAATCCCCGAGTGTCCCTATGGATGGGAAGTACACCAGCTGGCGCTCGGGGGTGTGTGTTACAACGGGGTCCATGAAGGGGGCTACTACCAGTTCATCATCCCAGACCTATCACCCAAGAACAGGTCCTACTGCGGAACTCAGTCAGAGGTAAGGCTAAGCCCACCCACGGCAGAGGGGCTGAAGTCAATTTAATGAGATACAAGAGCGAGATGTTTGATGCCATTCTTAAGAGGATTCACAATGCTCCAAATTCCTTTTAAAAGTCAGTCCTGTTGTTCAGATTCCCTAGGAGGCTGTGGTGGCCAAACTCTTCTCGCGTGCTGCTGTTCGTGCCCAGGTAGAGATGTGCAGAGGTTGTATTAATCTTGTGTCCTCTTCTCCCGCGCCCTCCTTATCTCTTGAGATGGGTCTCTTGCTGATTCAGAGAGACTGGCTGGTCAGCGACACCCTGAGAGCTCCCTTCTCCATTTCCCAGTGCTGGGATTACAAGCTCGTGTCTGATCGCCCGCCCTCCGTACCCAGTATTTTATAACTGTGTTAGAGATCTGAACTCTGGTCTATGCAGCAAGCACTTTACCCACTGAGCCACCTCCCCAGCCTTAGATGGCTCTTTGAACTTGACTTCTATTCTCCTAGCTCACTGGGGCATGCAGAGAGCAGCAAAGCTTCCCTCTGTGATAGGACAACTGCATTTCTCACTTAAATTGGGCGCGTTGGTCCCTGAGTCGGATGCCCGAGTCAGTGGGTCATCTGTCTGTCTCTGTCCAATCGAATTGTCCAGACATTCTCGAGAACAGGCATGTGGAAATATGGAGATAGAGTCGGAAGGGCGTTCCAGCGACTACTGAATCCGCCCCAAGTTTATTTTTCATAGCCTTTTTATACCCTTAAGCCAAAGGGGAGGACTAAGAGACTTTTTTTTTTTAATGGTGATACAAGAAACAAACAAAAGTGATTACTTCCTTAATATTCAAAACACCCAGTAACTACACCTTAGGTCAGACATCCTGTTATCTAGGCAAGACTTCAGCAACTTCACCTTGGGCCAAACTTCCTGTTGTTTGACCTTGTAGGAGCAATAATAGGCTCAAACTCTCTGACCTTACGTCAAGACAGAGTGGAGCCACTTCTATGGGCCTTCACAGTCATCCTTTCCCCAAGAACTGGAAGTGGCAGTTAAGTGCATGGGGAAAGCACAAATAGGATCCTAAGCAGGGTGAAGCACCCACGACAGGGGACCACAGAATCACAAGGAATCACAGCCCCACGGGCCAGAATTCCTCCTGCCTTGACTACCACAAGGGCATGTGATGTACACCTCAGAACAAAAAAGCCAACTCTTCTTCCTGGAGTGCCAGAAGCATTCAGTTGTGATGGGAAGACCCATAAGCAAGGTGAGCACAGCATCACATCCGTGAATGCATCCTGGCGACCTGAGCGGAGAACATCTCCGTGTTTTTAGGCCATTTCCTTTAAAGACAGGTGCTCACCATTCTAATGTTGTTGAGTTTTGAGACCATCTTGCCAGAAGGAAGAATTTTATAAGTGGTGCTTTCTGATTAAAAGATGTTTTAACTACAGACTTACGATCTAGAGTAGAGGATGAACAAAGACATCCACGGGGCATTGGACAAAGGGATAAAATGTTGAGGCTGGGAGGAGAGACTTTGATCCAGTCCGTCAGAAGCCCAGTAGGACTTTCCCTACATATATACTATCAACCTCGGTGAAGGGATTCCAGAATTCTGCAAACAATTTTGCTACAAAAAACGGGTTCTACTCTTCCTGATAAACATTTTTGTCCCCTTGTTTGGTTTTTTTTTTTTTTTTTGCTTTGTTTTGTTTTATTCTTCAACATTATTCTTGGCTTGAAACTCACTACGTAGGTGAAGCTTGCCTGGAATCCCTCACCATCCAACCTCCACCTCCCAAGTGCCAGGATGACAGGCGCGCACCACTAATACCTAACCTTTTCCTAGGCCTTTTCCTAAGTTATCTCCAACCACTTTTCCCAGAGTCCTCAGTCAGTCCCATCAGGGGGACAGTGTGCACCCCAACTGTCTTCTTTCTTCCTCCAGTACAAGCCTCCCATCTACCACTTCTACAGCCACATCGTGTCCAACGACAGTACAGTGGTTGTCAAGAACCAGCCTGTCAACTACTCCTTCTCCTGCACCTACCACGCTACCTACCTGGTGAACCAGGCTGCTTTTGACCAGAGGTAAGCCGTGCTGGGGGTGGAGGGCTGGCCACCGTGAGGATGCTACAGTCCCTGTCAATCAGGCATGTTTCAGTCCTTATGCAAAATTCTCTCCCCTTTTCAGAGTGGCCACTGTTCATGTCAAGAATGGGAGCATGGGCACATTTGAAAGCCAGTTGTCCCTCAACTTCTACACTGTAAGTCCAGGTTCTTTTTCCTCAGGGAACTTCCTCCCACGGGAGTCACTCTCTCCCAGCCTCTGCACAGAGCCCCATTCCGGAACTCCGATGGCGGCAGCGCCCCATTCCGGAACTC